CTTATATTATAACATATCATCGATAGCACACTATTTATGAACTTTATAAAATCATGTCAAAAAAAATAATAATAACCTTCTCATACTTTATGTTTACTTTATAAGCCATTGCAACTCCGATTATGCATCCGTTGTGACTACCACAAGAAAATCACGTCGTAACATCACTTTAAAAGAAACACCACAATTAACCGAAAAGAATTATCTTAATACAACACTAGAAATTCATAATCTTAACTTACACAAAAACTACAGTAAAAAAAATTCTTACATCAGAGCAACTCAACTCATACATAACATATTTATTTTAACACAAAATCCAAACTCTCAACGTTCATCGTCCCATATTATACCAACTTGACTTTTCCGTGAATTTCCTATTTAAAATAAAATATACATATATAAATATGCCCAATAGCTAATATGACAGTCAACTAAGAGCATGTTTGGCATTGCTTTTAAAAACTGCCTATTTTTAGAAGCATTTTTTAAAAATAGATTTTTAGGAAAGTGCTTTTCAAAGAAAAGCAATCTGAGTTTGGCTAATTCATTTAAAAAGTGTTTTTGATAAGCAATTTGTGTTTGACTAATTTTTTTTAAAAGTGTTTTTCATAGTCAAATTAAGAAAAAAGGCAATTATCAATGTGCTTTCAATAATAAGATTATTTTATAGAGAGAAATTATTTAAACATCTAATACATAAACTCTAATTACATTTTTAATTTAATTTTTTAAAATGTACATATTCAAATTTTCAATCAATATTGTACATAGATAAATATTGTTGAAAAATATTGAAAATAGAAATCTTTTTGTTATTTGTTACCTCTTTTTTGGATTCAATCTTAGCGGATAAAGATCCGGTCAAGTAATGTTCAATGGCCTTATAATTCATGCCATGTGTACTATATAATAATGAGCAATTTTCACATATATCAAACATAAAAATTATATTTGTATGTTATAGCTATAGTTTGTATAATTGTGCTCCATAACAAACTTTATGTTTGCTATGGCTATTAATTTGTATATTTCGGTATACATATACATAAAAATTTGTATTTGGGTCTATTTGTATATTTCGGTATACAAATGGGTCCTGCATTTGTATATTTCGGTATACAAATGGATCCCGCATTTGTATATTTTGATTTATTTGTATATTTCGGTATACAAATGGGTTCTACATTTGTATATTTCAGTATACAAATGGGTCCTACATTTGTATATTTTGGTATACAAATGAGTCCTGAATTTGTATATTTCGGTATACAAATGGGATGACAAAAAAAATGAAATATTTGCTACGAATTATAAATAAAAAACTATGACTATAACATTTAATTTGAATTAATAATTTTGCTATTTCATACCATTTTAAATAACTAATGAAAAATATGAGCAAGAATTTGCTCAAGTCTAACATATATATACGTCACATTAATTAGAAATTTTTTATTGAAATATGCCACAAGTGAGTAAACATGACCCATCACTTTATTGATTTGTTGTACCCTTTCCTCCATTTTCACGTGAAAGCTAGTGGAGGTGTTTAGCACCTCATTTTCTTATCCCATTATATAACTATGTAGATATTGCATAGGTTCATGATAAAATATGTATAATTTTTTTATATAACACGATTAATGAAAAATCATTGTATAAAAGCTATCGTATATAATAATAACTAATTTTAACATCGCTAAACTTACTATCTCTATTAAAATAGTCGATAATTTATTTTTGAAAAATTATATAAAATAAATACACGTACATACAAATATATATTGTAACTAAAGATTTTTCCGCAAATAATTAAGACATTTTAGGAGGAACTAAAATTATTTTTTAAAATCAAAATTTAATTTAAATATGATATTCTCAAACACACGCAGTGTTATAATAAAAATTTTAAATTTAGGCTCGTAAGTCTTAGACACGAGACAAGGATTACTTTTAACACCTAAGGTATTAATACAATTCTATACCCAAGAGAGAAAACGTTATTCTAACCAATATTTAAGTAATGTCACGTGCCTAAGATTTGATTCTAAACTCAAGGCAGATTTATGCTAGACTTGGAGTGTTATTTCAGCTCTATATATATCCTCTTTCTTGGGATATGCATGCCCAATTAGTAACTCTTTAGATGCTCCATAGTATTATTGTGAAATTTGGGCCAGAAAATAAGTATTTGAGTGATGTTGATTTAATAGATTGATTATAGATTTCGTTGAATTACTATTCTTCATTTATTAATTAGTTACCATCAATATATTTAGGCTTGCACTTAATTTCACTCTGTGCTTATATAATAAACAATGTATTCAAACTATACTTAGATCATTTTGTGGTAGTACTCATTGATGATATTTTGATCTACTCTCGAAGTGACTTAGGACATGAATAATATCATAGACGGATAGTTATGCTAGACATTTAGGGGTCGTTTGGTTCAAAGATTAATAACACAAGGATTAGTAATGCATGAATTAGTAATGCATAGTTTATTTTTTATTAAGTGTTTGATTCGTTGATTCCCACCTAATTTTGTGTTTGAATTAAAACTCTACAAAAAGCTTCTTTTTAATTATACCCTTTAATTACTATGGTATTTTATGTTTTATGTAATTGAATCAAGATAGATAACTACCGAACAATATTTTTTTTTTGTGGCCTTGTAACTATGTGATTGGATGATTTTTTTTTTGGCTAAAATCATTCCTGAAAAGTATGACTTAAATATAATTTACATCCTTATGTTAATAAGTGATCAAAAAAATCTTTTCACTATCCAAAAAGTTGCAAAATTCATCGATCTGTCTATTCTTTTAGAAACTCACGCCACCAACAAAAAAATATGTCAAATCAAATGAATATATGTACATATAGTTATGCTAATCAAGTTGAATGATTTTTCTAATTTTTAGAAATTGAGGTTTTAAATCATATTCAAAACATTCGAGCTTGACATGGCGTAATACTTCTACATTATTGAATAGGATTTAATTTTGACCTTACTACCTACAACGGAGAGTGGTTCCTACACGTGTCTCTTCCCATTCGACCACATAATTGACTCGATTTTTATTCCATAAAGAAAATTAGGAGGTATAAAAAACTCCCAAGTAGTATAATTTTGAGCAACTTTCACATATAGCAAATAAAAAAATTATATTTGTATGCTATAGCAAAATTTATATAATTGCGCTCCATAACAACTATATATATGTATAATTTGCTATACATATACAATTGAAAGCTATGTCTATTTCGCTATACATATATACAAAAAGAAGCAATTGTATAATTCGTTGGCTCCTCTTCAGATTTGTATAGTTTCGCTGGCAGGCCATTTGTATAAATTGTTGTTAGCCTCTCGTTTGTATAAATCGTTGACAAAAATATTTGTAAATCAAAAATCGCTCTCTCTTTCGCTTTATACAAACATAAATTATACATTATATTTGTATAATTTGTATTTGTATAAAACGAGAAAGAGAGAAAGGCAGAAGAGAACTGGGCAGTGGAATATTTGTATTGTATAATTATAAGTGTATAAGACGAATATATATGTATTTGCATGTGTATATATAATTTTCTTTCGCTTTATACAAACATAAATTATACATTATACAAACATAAATTTTACATTATATTGTATAATTTGTGTTTGTATAAAACGAGAAAGAGAGAAAGGCAAAAGAGAATTGGGCAGGAGAATATTTTTATTATATAATTATAAGTGTATAGGATGTATATATATGTATTTGCATGTGTATATATAATTTTCTTTCGCTTTATACAAACATAAATTATACATTATACAAACATAAATTTTACATTATATTGTATAATTTGTGTTTGTATAAAACGAGAAAGAGAGAAAGGCAAAAGAGAATTGGGCAGGAGAATATTTTTATTATATAATTATAAGTGTATAGGATGTATATATATGTATTTGCATGTGTATATACAATTTTCTCTCGCTTTATACAAACAGAAACGCAATTTATACAATTTTCTTGTATAAAGCGAGAGAGGCGAGCACAGAGGGAGCGAGCGAGAAAGGGAGAGTGGCGACTGAGAATTTGAAGGAAGAGAGGTGATTGACAAACGTTTACTACGGGGTGCAATTAAATCAAACAATAGCTATTACATTTATTTTAGATTATAAATTTGCCATTTTGTACCATTAGTCAATTCAGAACAAAAAAAAGATCCATCCGTGTTTATACCGTGTATCTAGAGAATTGCCTTTTTTTTAATAGGATTTACGCAAATTAACTTTACAATTATTTGACACAAAATTCAGCTAATGTCTCTGTCAAAAAACAACAACCAGTGCTGAGATAAAGCCTGTGCCCAATACACCTCATCTTTATTTGTTTGGTCCATACCACCACCCAATTTGGCCTAGACTCTTCTTGGTGAAGGTATAAACACTCATTTATATTTCTTGTTTACATTGTTTCTAAATATAATAATAATAATAATAATAATAGATGTTGACTTTTAATAATGTTGAAGAACCAATGTAAAAGATGCGCATAAAATAAAATCATACCATTGGATACATATCTTAATTTCACATATAATATTGTAATTTTTACAAAATGTAAAACTCCATCACAATGACCATTTCTCAAAGGATATTTCTCCTATTTTAATTTATGTGATATCTTTTGCTTGTAAATTCAACTAATTAATAACTTAAAATTTATATTTTTAAAAACTACTACTACTTTTTAATACCAATATAATAGAAAAATACATTTTAAATACATATTGCAACGTAAATTGAGAAGTGAAAATACAACTATATTTTGTGAATTTTAACCCAATTACTCCATATCATATTACTACCTCAACATAAAAGCCAGAGGACAGAAATGGAACTTCAGACAAACAACTTTGTCATAAACCATTCAGATTACGTGCTATAAATACTCAACTCCAGAATCATCTTTTGCCCACATTGCTAACTACCTATTATTACTATTACTATTATTTGCTCAACAAATATATATATATATAGTTCCTTCTAGAGTACTCTACACTAATATTCCCTTCAAATTTTTTTCTGTGAAAATGGGATCACGTTACGAAGTTGAAGTAAAAATAACTTCAGCCAAAGATTTGAAGAACATCAACTGGCGTTACGGTCCTCTGAAACCATACGCAGTTGTCTGGGTTGATCCCAATTCTAAATGCTCCACTAAAGTCGATGAAGATGGTGATACTTCCCCTTATTGGAACGATAAACTCCTTATTCCTTTGAATTCTCCAATTGATGAATCCGTCTTATATATCGATATTGTTCATGCTGTTGGCGCCGAAGAGGACACCAAGCCTCTCATCGGATCCGCTAAGATTTCTCTTAGCGAAGTCGTAGATGAGGCTGGAGTAGGCGGTGAGGTGGAGCGTACGCTCCAGCTCAAACGCCCTTCTGGCCGTCCTCAAGGGAAGGTAGAAGTTCAGGTTACCGTACGCGACCCACGCTATCGTGCACGGGATGCGTATTACGCACCTCCATACGGTGTGCCCCCTCCGGCGCAACCTTATAATTACGGCGGAGCATATGGCGCCTCAATTCCGCCTTACGGGCAGCCGGCCCCAGGGAGTTACGGGCAGCCAGAATACGGGATGGGAGGCTACGGGCAGCCGGCTGCGGGTAGTTACGGTCAGCCAGGTGGCGGATATGGTTACGAAGAGGAGAAGAAGAAGAGCAAATTTGGAATGGGTACAGGATTGGCAGTGGGTGCAGTAGCGGGGGTATTGGGAGGAGTGGCGATAGCAGAGGGTATTGATCACTTGGAGGATAGTATCGCCGAAGATGCGGCGGAGAAAGTGGAGGAAGATCTCGCCGACGATGATGGTGATTACGGAGATGATGACTTTTAAGCTACCGTTAAGTTTGTAATTGTAATATTCTTACAGGTCGTTTGACCTGAGGGATAAAAATAAATAATTATAAGATAAGAAAATAGTGATGGGATAAAATTTTTGTGTCTTATTTGGTTGTTATGTATGAAATAACTTATTCCACTATTTATATCACTTGTTCCAGCCAAATGACCGTTAGAGTATTTCTGACGCCAATAAAGTTAGTAAGTACTCCTCGTCATCTTTATTTATTCATTATACTATTTTGGTATATTCAATAATATTTATTCAATTTATAAAACTAATAAATAATATTTCATGTTATGTCTATTTTATCGGTGATATTAAATATTTTCATTTTTCAATATTTATATGACTTATAATAAGAGTGATTTGATAAAATTATTTTATTATTTACTGCTTCTTAATTCATGTGTCAAGTCGATGGAAGACACGATTATATGGCAAAAGTAAAAATTATCGTGAAAAGAAAGGGAATAATGAGAACATGGAAGCATAAGTTTATATTCTAGTAAATCATGAATAGTATTAGGTTCTTACACAGGAACCAAAAAATAATAATTGAAAGCTATTATATGCTAAATGTTAACTGGATCGAATATATGCAATGTTACGGAGAAAAGTTGTTCTAGACGTATATTTTTGCGTCTTTTAAGTGTTTAATTAAATTGCTGTAGAGATGTATATCTATTTACGTACTACTAAAAAAATTCAATTATATGTAAAAACCTAACAAATTCAAATTCACTTGTTAATCATATGCAGACATATTCTTTGTACTTATAGAATTATGTCAAATTTCTTGGTAGTTGGAATAGAGGCAATAGAATTAGTTATTAATTATAAAAATATTACGTTTTAGTCAAAGTTAATTTTGAACTAAAAACAATGTTGTATTGGTTAAGAATTTCTTTATTTTTATCGACCAAAATCATTTATTCAAACATTTAGATAAAGAAAAAACAATTTTTAAAAATAAAAAATAAAAAAAATACATGATGATTTTGAAACCAAAGGCCACCTACCACCTTGTGTTTTAAAAACCAAAACAATTTATTTATGCACATGTTGATTTTTTATTTTTTATTTTAGTTTTTTATTTGGTGTTTGATATTCGCATTAGAGTCCGATTATTTTGAAGTTGTACTATGTAAGGCTCCATTAGGGGTGAAGCGTTCTCTATCAATGTTTTTTGGGAAAATATATAAAAAAAATCCTAAACTTGTAGGATAACTTACTTTAGTACTTAAACTACACGGACGTTTAAATACCTCCTTAACATATTTGAAATGAATTTAATCCCACCCTAATAGTATAATACCAGTCTCACATTGGGAAGTGCACTACACACACGCCTCATTAGCGCCACATCAGTGCCACATCAACGCCACAACAGATCCACATAAGAAATTATATTTTTAAAAATAAAAAAAGGAAAATCAAAAAAGGCAATAATCTTCTCTCTCCACACTAAATCTGGTGATATTCTTTTCACCACAAATAAAAAAGCATAAAAGGAATTAACTTCAATTTTAATTTTGACTTTCATTTTTTTAAAAACATAACTTCAATTTAGAGACAATTGTGATAAAGTTCAATGATTTCCAATGTGTCTTCAGCCTATATAAGAAAAAAAATTGAAAAAAATAAAAATAAAAATGAAGGTAAAAAGAATGGGAGGTGAGATGATATGAGAAGAAAAAACAACACTGGAGAGGGGTTTGAAGGAGGACGAAAGCCATGTGGGTGTGTTAAGAGGGATGGTGGCTTGAAGAAGGAGAGATGGGGTGGGTGGGTGGAGTATTTTGCAGAAGGAAAAAGAGGGCGGGTGACTTCGAAGAAGAAGGGGAAGAGCTGGGTAGGGTGTTTTTATTTATTTATTAATATATATATATATATATATCCCCTGTTTTGCCATCTTCTTCCTCTGTTCTTTTATCTTCTTCTAATGGCTTGCTTTGTTGTACTCGCCCAAGTTCTAGTTATTTCATTATAACTAATGTTTTAGCGAGATCTTTTAAGGTTCTAAAATACCCAAATTTGCCTTTTTCTTTTGAATCAGTTATGGGTATCAGCTGTTTGTGATGTCTGCTTTTAGATCTTCAAGTCAAGTTTTTGTTTATGATTCTTTGGTTCATTCTTAGAGTCAATTTGGTGGATTTGATCTGATTAGAGCTGGGTAGGGTGTTTTTATTTATTTTTTATTTATTATAATATATATATATATATATATATATATCACTTTTTTTAAGAAAAAAAAATTATATACGCGCCTGAATTTATTTTTTTGCCATGTCAGCTTTTTCGGGTGGAATTAAATTCACTTGAAAGATGTTAAGGGGATATTTAAACACCCGAATAATTAAAGTGCTAAAATAAGTTATACTGCCAAGTTCAGAAGAATTTTTATGTATTTTCCCATGTTTTTTTCATACTCAAGATTCAAATCCAAAATATTTAATTAAGAAAAAAACAATTTCATCCACTCACCACATCTTTTGGTGGTAACATACATATGCACATGTTGATTTGAGTCCTAATATCAGCAAAAAGTTTGGGTCAACAAGTGGACAAATGGTGAACGACCATAACATAGTACTCGCTCCGTCTTACACAAATTATCATGTTTTTTTTTTTTATCGAAAAGGAAAATTTTATAATCAACCAACTCAGAATATTTACAACCTCTTGTTCATTGGACTTTAGAGACATGAGCTCCCAAAAATAAGAGATATTAAGACTTGACCTCAACTAACATAGTAGGTGTGTTAATTAAATTTTTTGTTTAAACTAAGGGCCCGTTTGGCCATGCGATATGAAATTTTTATGTTGTATATATTCTCATAAACATAAAAATCTCATAAGTTGTAAAACTATTAAAATAGTTCCAATTGTTTATTTAATCTTACCAAATAAACAAAAAATTATAAAATCGCATAATAAATTACATCTATTTGTTCTCGATCATATGACTGCGAAGACGAACTAACATTGTTACTTTGTGAGTCATTTGTTGGTCAATATCATTCACAACTATATTTTCATGCTCATAGACCATAACATCACTCTTGTGGTATTCTCGCAAATAATTATGTAATACTATACAAGCTATGACAATTTTCACTTATATGTCAATATCACAACGGTTCATGCCTTGTTTCACTTGTGTGCAATTACACATTTTCAGTGCATTAATATCGTGCTAAAATCAAACATATTGGAAGTAGTGATTATCAAACATACATTACCTATTTTGTCATTTTTCATAACATTTTCATATGTAGCCAAAAGAGAAGCTTTTTTTATTATGAAAAACCAAAAAAGTATTACTTCTTCCGTTCTTATTTATATTCACCAAATCAATTTCTACTTTATCATTTATATTCGCCAAATTTAAGGTAATAATAAATTTTAAAAAGTAATGATGTGATTTTAAATTTTATTTACATATGAAATAGATGGTTAGTAAATATAAAATGTGGGGTTGTATTAACAAAATATAAACTTGTGAGTCAATTTTTATATTAAAAAAATCTCAAATTATGATATGGAATCCGAAATCCAAATCATGCTTTTTGGAGAAAATATGTAGTGACTTTTTCAAACATTTGTTTAGACCTTATTGAGTATTATATTATAAAATGTATCTTGTATATTATTTTCAAAGTTAATTTTGATATTTGGAACGTTAAGTATACAAGTTTAAAATTGGGGATAACCAAACATATAATCGTTAAAGAGAAGTGCTATTTTTAAGATCTAACCATAAACCACAAAATATTTAATTAGTAGTAATATGTTTTAGTTGTTGGGCTATGCTTTAAACAGTCGTCCGTCCTCGAAGCTGTTATTTGAAATCCACAAAACCCTAAACCCTAAATTATTACAACTACTATAAAATGACAGACTCAGATGTTTTCATCTCTAAGGGAAAAGAGAAAGCTCTTTATACAAAGAATCCTATGGTTTGCTGATTAATTTTGACTCAAGTCATGAATTTTGCTGCTGCTCATCATTTTACGTAATGATGTGTAATCCCCTGTGTTTAATATTTATGCATAAAACTTAATCTTTGACCTATATGCATAATTTTAACTTTTTTTTATATTACTCAATATAGTTTTGTACCTTACACACAGTACCCTGTTCAACTGAAGTCCCTTAATGCTTCTAGACATTATGGGTGATGCAAAAACCGAGTTTCTGATGTACTATTTATTTATGGCATGTTTGAAATTTTTAACCTTTGCCTTTGCATTTACCTTTATTGAGTTCTTACATTTGTTTCATGTTCAACCTGGTGCTGTATTTCTGAATTTGTGTTTCAGAGTTTTTTTTTTGTTTTTTCTTTGACTTCAATTAAAAAGCACATGATGAGTTACTCGGATTCCCCTTCAAGATATCATGGGTGATGCAAAAATCGAGTTTCTGATGCACTATTGTCTATTTATTGGAACATCGTTTGCTATCAAGAGGGGATGGAACAGTTTAATTCTTTTAAAATGATTAAAGAAGAAAAGAAGTTCATTTTTTTTTATTCTTTTTGAGATCTTCGCAACTAAATCTTTCCAGTGGATCCATTTTGGATTAACCCTTTCACAGGCAAGGATTTTAGCTGTGAATGCATCACACTGGAGGGCATTTTGTTATGTTTATATATATTATAGTTAGACACTTGATACTAGAGTTATTATTTGATTCTAGAATGAAATCAATTCCCTTTTGTCTGGGAAAGACTTGTCGGTATGGTTCTTTCATATGTTATAGGCAAACTGCATAGATTCAACTGTATTTAAAGAGGAGGTGAAGAAGCTGCAATTGGAGCAGTTTAAACCTTATGAAAGAGATGTTGTAAGTGCCTATCGGTTGCTGCCTAGTAGCTAGTTTTCTTACTGATGTGGTCAGATTTTTTACTTATTTTTTATTCAAAGTATTACCCTACCTTAGGCTATTATTGCTAGATCCTGGACTCTCAAGGACAAGAACATGAAATTCAGGAAAAGAAACAACACAAGTGAAGATGCCATGACAATATAACAAGTCTAGATTCCCTTGCCTTAATTATAACTTGCAGGCAATTCACTTTCATCTGATGATCTTTGATTCTTTTAACGTATTGTCTGTCTACGTATTGGTAACGGAAGAGAAAAGGAAAAGGAATATGAAATCTGGTTTCATTATCAAACAAGAGGCAATATACCCAATACAATATATGTTTGAGTCTGGAAGAAGTTCACCTGGACTAAAACAAATACAATATTCTTGAATGTCTCAAAATTGATGTTAGCCGGGACATAGTAATATGTGTTTTCATACACAATATATTTGGTAGGTGCTGGTAAATTTTCCTAAGTTTCAAATTTTGAAATTCAAACAGCAGGCTACTATCATCACCCTCCTCGTAGCATTCTGCAACCTTACGACACACCATTCTCAACAGACATCAGGCGATCAGCCTGGGATTTCTCAATTTCAAAATCTTGACCTCCCCACTTCCGCATACGCTCGTTCGTCTCCTCAACCTGCATGTTTAACTCCTCTTTTAAGATACTTCAAAGCAAACAATTTCAGGTATGTTTTTCCTTGGTTTATGATCATAACAAGTCATTGTGCTTAATATGATTTATGTCTTAAGTTATTAACTTAGCGCACAACTTCGATCTGTAACTAAATCAGTATTTGGCTCTAAGACCAATAAACAATAAGTTCCAATTAAAATACTATAGCTCACAACACCAAACATACTAGTTACTATCCTGATAAAACTACAAGGCTAATAGGTTTGTTAAACAACTAAGCAAGTGGCAAACTAGCAAGATGTTTACAATACAGTAAGAGATAAGATTCCAAATATTTGGAAGATTATTTCAAATAAGTGTTTGTTTATCAAATTGGCTCATTATTTCAACTTCAATCTTGAAATATAGAATTTGAGGTTTGAAAAAAAGTATTCAGAATTTTTTCAAGTCTAGTCTCACAAAACGTCAACGGTGTTTTCATGTCAAACATAACTTCAACATTACTATTTTCATTTAGATGCATGTGAATTCCCTACTTTCTATTAGTTAATTACAACTAGAATCTTGCCCTCTGGTCCTGTTCATTACTTGATCTACACATTAATAGACTACTTCAATATGAATCAAGAAGCCTATTTGCAGTATTTCCATACCTCCTTGTTCCAATTTGTCTTATATAGTACAATCAATAGTAGCACAGTCTGCAAAGATGTCCCAGCTATCATTCCCAGCCAAAGTCCCTGCAAGTTATTCAATCAGAAGTAATATAAACTCAGTAGAAAGTAGATTTTAGCAACAAATCTGATGAGGTATAATGACAATAAATATGATCCAGCTTGTTTAATCAGTGGTGTTCGATAGTACTTCTCCAAAAAAAGAAAATGCGCGGGGAAGTTAGGCGGGGTAAGGATTGTGTACCTAATATCAACATGTCAAATACTCTTGCTAATGAAACTCAAAGACTTAAGTTTACCTTTGCTCCCAACTTTGCCACATAACCAAGAATAAATCCTAGAGGGAGTCCAAAATGTAATAACATCCCAGATTAATATAAGCCACTAAAGCTTGCCATCCACCTCCCACAGCAACACCTACAAAAGTACCCCACGACTTAACATGGTAACAAGACAATACAAATCTAAGAAACAGCTAGTGTGAATCGAATGTGATACCTGATATAACAGGCTGAACACTATTAAGAACCATAGTTATTCCGAGAAGGTAAGAAAGATCACCAACAGCTTGTTGCATATCTTTGCTGCTAGTAAAAATAACGGCCAAATGCTCTCTAGCTACCATTACAATAACCATACAGAGTAGCCCAATTAGGAGTGACTGAAACACTGAGATATAGACAGAGTATTTAGTGGCCCTTGGATGTCCTAGGCCAAGCTCATTTGAGACCCGTACACTGGGGGAAATAAACAAGGAAAACAAGAAAGAGAAGTGAATAGGTTGAAAGAAGAATATGAGATTAAACTAAGGCGATGGGATGAAAAAAGCAAACAAAATCAGCCGAACAAGTTAAAATCAAGGAAGCATCCCTCACTTCCTTGTTGTCATATGTAATATTTGAGGTAACATAATAAAAGAAAGACAAATCATGACAGGGAAGCATATAAAGTTTAGTAATTTTCTCCAGATTCTGTAAGCATATAAATGAGCCCCTTCATCCACATATCCACATTTTGACAACTACAGTGTACAGAACACCACCTCAACTGCAACACACGAGCTACAAAAACTACATGAAGTTGTGAATGCTGATGAAGACTTTTTACCTTATGGCAGCATTAAGTCCAATGAACAACATGCCTTCATACCCATTGACATTCATGCTGTAAAACAAAAACAATCAATTAGAATGAGATATGAACATATATTGCTTCATGCCTTCTGTACCATTTGCTACATATATTGTATATAAAACACCATTCTTGGGCACGATGGATAGACAGGACTTAAATACAAGAGTTCACAGAGAATGAACTGGTGCAACAATAGAAACATAAAGACTACAGTAAACTCACCAAATAGAAATAGATCCAACTGCAATAACTGCATTGTCAAGATGGCCAACAAGGATGATAATACTCATCATATACCAAATTTCAAGACATAGCATAATGGCTGAGGCAATGGAGAGCCTCACAAAGGACCACATTTCGTTAAATGCTCCCCAGGACAATCCCTTCCACCCATCCTTACACCATCCAACAACATAAGCAAACTGAGCTATTGCCAAGACCCAATTTGTTAGGTCAAAGGCTATGGCAGCACCAGTCGTACCCCAGCCGAATGTGTAAATAAAGAGCCAAAGGAGCGTAGCATGCATGAGCAGAGTCACAAATCCAATCCAGGCAATCACATCAACTTTGCTTTGGGCTTGAAGGAATTTGGAGGTCGGAAAATTGATGGAAAGCGAAAACAATTGGGGGATGATTAGTATGGCATATTCCCCCGCAAGCTCAGCAATGTGAGATTCTTGGCCTAGCAGCTTAAGCACTGGGGTTGCAAATAGATATATTGGCAAGAGCAAGATACAAGTTGCAAACAGAATTATGATAGAGCGTTGCATATAAACACCAAGCATGTGAATTTGCCCTGCACCATATGCCTGTCCACACAGCGTCTCCAATGCACTTCCCATTCCCAACTGACCAAAAGATTATCAGTAATGTGATATAAAAGAACTGTGACTCTGCCTATCAGTACGTAAGACACAAATTCAGTCTCTCTAAACTGGAAAAGCCATGTCAAAATTAGTAGAAACTGATATTATCATATTAGCACCAAAATTTACACATCTACTCTCATGTTAATATGGTTCAAGGTGCGAGAAAGTACTATGCTACTCCTATTGTGTTAATATGGTTCAATTTAAAGACATTATTCTTTTCATTTTGTGACATACAACAACAACAACATCCCCACGTAGTGAGATTTCACTAGGGATGTTGTTATTGTTGAACCCATAATTTCAAAAGTACAATGAGTTCACTAAAACCTTTAAAGTTTATATGAATCCTAGATCCGCCTACCATAACAATCACAGGTGAAACCAGAAATTTCAGTTCAAGAATTAATTTGTTACCTGCATACTTTGTATTATTTTCAATATACACCTAATAATTTTTTTATGAAAGATTACAAGTTTAGAGCTTAGAGCAGTAGACTCATAGGATATATTGCTTATACAATTATCCTTCACACCAAACACTCCTAAAGTATCCTCTTAGAACTGCACAATATAGAAAGAAGTAGAGGGCCTAACCAAGAACCCGAATGAGAAAGTTCCGATGACTGATTGAGCAATAGAAATAGCAGAAAGCTCAATATCTCCGAGATGCCCAACGAATATATTAGTAAGTGAATTCACACCATATTGACAGATAATATTAAACGCTATTGGACCTCCAATCCTCCATAGCTTCACACTTTCTATGCAGAAAATAGCCCACCATTCTCTTAAATCTGTAACAGGCCGGTAATCTCCGTCGGCGCCGATGATCTGGTGGTGTTCGTCGTCGGAGAAACCGTTAATCAACGGCGTCTCCTCCATGACTCTACCCTGCCGGAAATTAGTTACGTCTTCCGCTTTAAACTCTGTTTGTTTGTTTCAGTCAGTGGCCGCAACAGAAAATGCGGTGTCGTTAATAGAAGTACTACTCATCAACAACGTCAGCTATACATATATGAGAGAGAGAAAAAAATTGGGATTATTTTATTGGAATATACCGTGGGATTCATGTTTTAATTTATTTATTTTTTAAATCTATTTTGAAACCAATTTAAAAAGTTAGATTAGGCGCTTGCCAAAAATAACACTCTGGATAAATTATTTTGTGATTTTATCTTTAATCAATAAACTTATTATAAAATTAATTTCGTATTAATTATTTCTTATCTTTTATATCAAACGAGTCATTATTTGAATAATTGTTATCAGTTGTTTTGTATTATTTGTTTTGATTGTTACTTAAATTTGTTCTATAGTATCATTTAAATTCATCGTTAGGTATGGCAAAAAGTTATATTTTGTGTAACGATCGATTTGGGTGTGATTACGTCGTTATCTTAATATTTTCTTCTCATTTTGTGTTTACTTATTAATTAATAATCCAATTTTAATTCTTATCTTTACATAGTAGCTCTACTCTATACTCTACTTTTTTGTGATTTATCATTTAAATTGTCAATGTATGACATTACATAACGACGAATAATAATACAATCATTCCAAATTGTGTATTCAATAAACAATACATTATGATATGATACAATATTATACATTATGAAACAATACATAACAACCATCCAAACAAAGGGAGTAGTATGAGAAACACAATAAATTATTCTTGATTGTTAACATGAAAAATTTGTTTTTAATATAAAGAACGTAACTTAAATTAGAAATTTCTAATATTCTTCATGAGTTGCGTAAACGATTGGATCAGGTAAGATTTTGGTAGGTATATTCAGTTCGGTATTTAATGGAATTGTACTGTGTTTTTTTAAAAAATAATAAAAAGAACAATATTTTCGTGGTATTCAAACTAATTCGCCGTATTATAATTAATTTCTCATTGATTGATAGATAGATAATTTCTTATATGCATTTTATTAATCCTTTATTCTCAAATTTGTTTCTAAATACTTCGTATTAGTATTATTTTACATGAAATGAAATATATACATTATTGAATATGAATTATGATTCAGATCAAATTTTACCAAAATGAGATTTCCTTTTCATTTCATATGCACTTTTAGACTTTATTTTTTCTCTTCTTTTTTTTTTTAACTTAAAAGTTGAATTTGCGTATGATAGCGTACCGGAAAACGAATGCATGAATTATGTAACGCCTATTAAAGCAAAAAAATAATTGGAGGAGGAGAAATGGTAGGTTGAAGGAAAGGACTTAAAACAACCACGTTATAACTTTGCTTATTGAAATTCATTTGTAACCTAACTAAGAGCTAGAGGTACAAAAGAGAAGATAGGACGACACACAATGCATGATTTACTTGTGATATTTGAACTTGACACGTTCATTGGGGAAAAAAAGAAGCAAAGTATTGAAAATGCATTTATGAATTTAACGTAAAGTATTAATTTCGTCTTGCCACATAACATAGTTAGTGATCTCAAGCTCTCGTGGAAGCATGGAGCTCTTAATAAAATCTCGAGAGAAATATTGAAAACACACCTAACTTAGCTAGAATTTAGGGGTTATTTTACCCATGTTGTAAGATTGGTGGTGTATTTAAGTTCAGTTAGTAAAATAAATTGATATTTTTAAGACTGCCAATAGTTTTGGGATAAATTAATAATTTACACTGAATTTAAAAGTATTTTCAATATTTCTATCCTTGCAAAGATAATGATTGATACCGTTATATTGTAATTGGTACATCATTTTTCTGTTGCTTCTTACACAACTTTAACAGTGGTTTAAAAATAAAAAATAAATAAGTTCAATTGAAATGATAAGAAAAAATAAAATATGTATTTCAAATTTGTTGTACTTATTGCAAACAAAGTTAGGACGATTTTTTTTTCCCCACCAGTTTTGGTTTTCTTTTGTGTGTTTAAATTTATGTAGCTATTGGGGAAAAAAATATTCCCTCCATTTTTATTCGTATACCACCATTTAGATGTCATATTTCTTAAGAAATTAGTAAAGATTACTATTATAGCCTTATTTAGTGATCTCACGAAGTCAAGTTTTCATTAAATAAATATAAATTAATTTATATTGATTAATTAAATTGACATATGAACATGTATTAAATATTTAGTTTTCTTATATTGTTCAAATTCATACTTTCAATTTCAAGGATTAAAAAAAGAATAGTGTCATTTATTCATTAATTTTGTGAAATGACAAACATGAAAAATTATCTATTTTTAGTAAGGACGACACATAAACAAAAATAGAAGTACTCTCTCTATTCATTTTTACTTGTCACTTTTTCCTAAAATAGATTTTCATTTTTACTTGTCACTTTTGACAGAGGCGGACCCACATGTAAAAATGGAAGTGCATGTGCACCCGTTAACTTCGAAAAAAATCATATATATATTTTGAAAAACTGGAAGAAATTAAAATATAAATAAAAGTACCCTCATGGAAAGCATAGAAGACAGTTAGTACTACTGGTACAAAGCGTGTGTGACCACCCATACGACTGTGGTTTGATTCTAGATAACACTACATTTTATTATTTTTATCAACTCATAATATTGGTGCACCCGTAGTATTCAAATTTTGGGTTCTCCTCTGACTTTTGACATATCAAAAAAAGACAATTATATTTTCTCATATTTATCATTAGCATTAAATATTCTTTCTGCAATTCATTTTTTAAAACTTAATATATCATTTAATAAGATAGTTTAGTAAAATACTTATATCAATAATTATTTCTTTAAGAAATATAGTATCAAATTAAAATGTGATAAGTAAAAGTGAAATAGTGTATAAGATGTAACTACCATTTATAGTACATTTAATTTATGTCACAACTTTCATGGTTGCCTGCCACCATCCCCAATGTTACCCCTGCAGTCTTTTGGTGAATTCATTTCAATTGGAGGTCCTCGAAGCGAATATTTCCGATAAAATGTGAGTATATATTTGTGATCATGATATACAAATGGAAGGAGTTAAATTTTGATCACTAATATAGGTCAATCTGTTGTAAAACTAAATGGATGTCATGTGGGCCACTCTTTAAGTGTCATCACTTGTTATACTAAAATGATGCCATGTGGGGCCACTCATTTTTGAGGTGTCATCACTTGGCTAAGTGGATAACTTTCTAATGGCCAAGTTTTAGTTTGTATGTTACTAATTGGCAATATATGGCCATTACTTTCATTCACTAAAAGAGGATAATAAGAAAAGTTTGGAATATATTATGCTATCCCTTTGTTTGTTCTTCTTAATATTTTAGTTTATTAATATTAGTTTGTTAGCTAGTTATTTTATAACACGTTATCAGCACGAGACTCTGCCAACTTGAGCTATTCTAAATAGGTAAAAAGGGTAAGAATTTTATTTTTCTAAAAAATGTCTAATATTTTTAAACTTAAATTTGTTGCCTTGGATATATCGGGCAAAGGATACTCATCATGGATACTAGACGCTGAAATCCACCTGGATGCGATGGGTCTGGTAGACACCATCAAAGATAATAATCAGGCATCCAGCCAAGATCGGGCTAAGCTATGATATCTCTGCGCCACCATCTTGATGAGGGGTTGAAAATGCAATACCTCACTATTAAAAAACCCCTTATACTGTGGAATAATTTAAAAGACAGATATGACCACCTGAAGTTGGTCATTCTTTCACAGGCGCGTCATGATTGGTTTAATCTGAGGTTACTAGACTTTAAAAGTATAACTGAATATAATTCTTCCATGTATAGAATTATATCACGGTTAAATTTATGCGGAGAAGAGGTCACTGAACATGATAAGCTTGAGAAAACATACTCCATATTTCCTACCTCGAGTATGCTCCTGCAGCAGCAATATCGAGAAATGAGTTTGAAAAAATATTCTGAATTACTTTCACATCTGCTTATTGCTGAACGACATAACGACCTATTGATAAAAAATCATCAAAGTTGGCCCGTTGGTTCTATGCCACTCCCTGAAGTGAATCAGGAAAATTATCACCAACGAGAAAGATGTCGTGGCTCCTATCGTGGTCGTGGCTCCGGTCATGGTCGTGGTCGTAAAATAAATTATAAGTATGATGTTCGTCTTGCACCAAAAAATGACCAGCAGTATAAGAGGAAGGGTGAAAGACAAGAAGTAATACAAAAGAAAATTTCAGAAAGTGTATGTCATAGATGTGGAAGTATGGGGCACTGGTCGCGTACTTGTCGATCATCTAAGCATCTAGTTCAGCTCTATCAAGCATCCTTGAAAAAGGGTAATAATAATCCAGAAGCAAACTTTATCTCTGAAGATAATGTTGAGCCCATACATAAGATGAATAATAATGCAGAAGCAAACTTTATCTCTGAAGATAATGTTGAGCCTATGCACCTGGATGTAGCTGATTTCTTTGTATTCCCTGAAGGAAAAACGATCAGTGACGAGCCCGCAATAATCTAGATAATTTCCTTTTCTGTTTGGTTGTATTAGTTGGTGTGTTTATGCTTCTCTAATCTCTGTAAATAAATAATGTTTGTATAATATCCATGTTTAATAGTAATATTTTACTTTGTTTTTATCTGTTTTTGAAGAAAATATGGATATGCCCCAAACTTCGTTTGGATCAATGATCAATCATGAAGATATTTGTGTAATTGACAGTGAAACAACGCACACCATATTCAAAGATGAGAAATACTTCTCTTACTTGCTTAGAAGAAAAGTAAATGTTACTGCAATTTCTGGTAATTCGAACTTAATAGAAGGCTCCGAAAGAGCTACTATATTTCTGTCTAAGGGAACAAAACTTGTTATAGAAAGTGCATTGTTCTCTTCTAAATCCCCAAGAAACCTGTTAAGTTTTAAAGATATTCGCCGAAATGGATATCATGTTGAGACAATAAATGAAATGAATGTTGAATACCTTGGTATTACCAAGATTGTCTCAGACCAGAAATATGTGTTATAGAAATTATCAACTTTATCTTATGGCTTATATTGTGCAAAAATAAGTACAGTTGAAACACATTCTATCGTAAACCAGAAGTTTACTGACTTAAAAACTTTTGTGCTTTGGCATGACCGAATAGGTCATCCTGGATCAATAATGATGAGACGAATCATTGAAAACTCAAATGGACATTCATTAAAGAACCTGAAGATTCTTACGAGTGATGAAGTACCATGTGCTGCTTGATGTCAAGACAAATTGATTACTAGGCCATTACCAATGATGGTTAACATTGAATCCCCACAATTTTTAGAGCGTATACATGGGGATATATGTGGACCTATTCACCCATCTAGTGGGTTGTTTAGATATTTTATGGTCCTAATAGATGCATCTTCAAGATGGTCTCATGTGTGCCTCTTATCATCTCGTAACCTGGCGTTTGCAAAATCATTGGCACAAATAATAAGATTAAGGGCGCAATTTCCAGATTATCCCATTAGGCAATTCGCTTTGATAATGCTGGAGAATTCACATCCCAAGCTTTTAATGATTATTGCTTATCAATAGGGATAAAAGTTGAACATCATGTAGCTCATGTTCATACTCAAAATGGCCTCGCTGAGTCATTTATTAAGCGTTTACAATTGATAGCAAGACCATTACTTATGAAAACGAAATTGCCCACTACCGTATGGGGTCATGCTATCTTACATGCATCAACACTTGTTCATCTTAAACAAACTAGTTATAATAAATACTCTCCGTCATAATTAGTATTTGGTTATGAACCAAATATTGCTCGTCTACGAATTTTTGGATGTGTTGTTATGTGCCAGTAGCACCACCTCAGCGCACTAAGATGGGCCCCCAAAGAAGGTTAGACATATATGTTGGGTTTGATTCACCCTCCATAATTCGCGACCTTGAGCCATTGACGGAAGATTTATTTACTGCAAGATTTGCAAATTGTCGATTTGATGAAACAAATTTTTCACAATTAGGGAGAGAGAAATAGGAACTTAAAAGTGAAATTGCATGGAAAGTTTCATCATTATCTCATTTTGATCCACGTTCCCCTATGTGTGAACATGAGGTCCAGAAGATCATCCATTACCAAAACATAGCAAATCAAATGTCAGACGCATTTACTGATTTGAAAAGGATAACAAAGTCACATACTCCTGCAGTAAATGTGCCTATCCGGATTGACGTCCCAAAAGGACCATCTACAAGTGTCATAGCTTCTGAATCACAAACACAGTTGAAGCGTGACAGACCATTGGGTTCAAAGGATAAAAATCCTAGAAAAAGAAATACGAAAAATGACACTACAAAGAATCCCACGAAGAGATTCAACATCTGATTAATCCTGATATTCTTAAAGATATCAGTGAACCCGAGACTCAAGTGAATGAAGAACTTTCAATAAGTTCTACGGGTGATGGGATAAGTTTAGATTGATCAAAAATCATAGTTGATAATGTTTTCGCATATAATGTTGCACTTAACATTATGCAAGACAACGAGGATCTTGAACCTTTATTTGTCGAAGAATGTCGACGAAGATGTGATTGGCCAAAATGGCAAGAGGCAATTCAATCAAAATTGAACTCACTTGCTAAACGTGAGGTTTTTGGACCTATAGTACAAATCCCAAATGGTGTAAAATTTGTTGGCTATAAATGGGTTTTTGTGCGAAAAAGAAATGAAATTGTAAGATACAAGGCACGCCTTGTTGCACAAGGATTCTCTCAATGACCCAGTGTCGACTATGAAGAAACATATTCACCAGTTATGGATGCAATAACTTTTCGATATCTCATATGTTTAGTTGTTCATGAAAACCTTGAAATACATCTGATGGATGTGGTTACAGCTTATCTTTACGGTTCACTTGATAATGAAATTTATATGAAAATTCCAGAAGGACTTAAAATGCCTGAAGCATATAGTTCAAATCCTCGGAAAATGTGTTCAATCAGATTACAAAAGTCATTATACGGCTTAAAACAATCAGGGTGCATGTGGTAAAATCGCCTCAGTGAGTACTTGATAAAAGAAGATTATATAAACGATGCAATTTGTCCTTGTATTTTTATTAAGAAAACAATATCAGGGTTTGTTATCCTTGTTGTTTATGTTGATGACATAAACCTCATTGGGACCCTAGAAGAGGTTCAAAAAGCAATTGAATAACTAAAGAAAGAATTTGAGATGAAAGACCTTGGAAAAACAAAACTTTGTCTTGATCTACAAATTGAACATTTAGCAGACGGGGTCTTCATCCATCAATCTGCCTATACTGAGAAAATCTTGAAATGATTTTACATGGACAAAGCACATGCATTAAGTACTCCAATGGTTGTTCGGTCACTTGAAGTGAGTAAAGATCCATTCCGACCTCAAGAAGAGAATGAGGAACCTCTTGGTCCTGAAGTACCTTATCTTAGTGCAATTGGTGCACTAATGTATCTTGTTAATGCTACGAGACCTAACATAGCATTTTCTGTTAATTTGTTAGCAAGATATAATTCTTCCCCTACACGAAGACATTGGAATGGAGTTAAACATAATTGCGATATCTAAAAGGGACCAGTAATTTGGGTATATTCTATACTAACAAAGATAGTGCAGATATTGTTGGTCATGCAGATGCAGGTTATTTATCTGACCCACATAAAGCTCGATCTCAGACAGGCTACCTTTTCACATACGGAGGTACTGCTATATCATGGCGATCTACGAAGCAGTCCATTGTCGCTACTTTTTCAAATCATGCTGAGATAATAGCTATTCATGAAGCAAGTAGAGAATGTGTATGGTTGAGATTAATGATACATTTCATCAAGAAAGATGTGGTTTGAAGTGTGATGTCAAGGTACCCATAGTGCTCTTTGAAGACAATGTTGCATGCATCGCTCAACTAAGAGGAGGCTTCATAAAAGGAGATAGAACGAAACATATTTCACCAAAATTATTTTTCACACATGATCTACAGAAGAACGGTAATATTGATATACAACAAATTCGTTCAAGTGATAATCCAACAAATTTATTCACCAAATCTTTACCAGCCTCAACTCTTGAGAAGATGGTGCACAAGATTGGAATGCGAAGACTTAAGGATCTGAATCGTGGTCTTTATCAGGGGGAGTAAAATACGTGCTGCACTCTTTTTTCCTTAGTCTAGGTTTTGTCCCACTGAATTTTCCTAGAAAGGTTTTTAATGAGACAATAATCAATGCATATTGTGAATGTCTATGTATATTCTTGTTCCTTCAACTTTTCTTTTACATGGACATCCAAGGAGAGTGTTATAAAACTAAATGAATGCCATATGGGTCACCCTTTAAGTGTCATCACTTGCTATACTAAAATGATGCCATGTGGGGCCACCCATTTTTGAGGTGTCATCACTTGGCCAAGTGGATAACTTCCTAATGGCCAAGTGTTAGTTTGTATGTTACTAATTGGCTATATATAGCCATTATTTTCATTCATTAAACGAGGATAATAAGAAAAATTTGGAATATATTATGCTCTCCCTTTGTTTGTTCTTCTTAATATTTCAGTTTATTAATATTAGTTTGTTAGCTAGTTATTTATAACAAATCTGGATTTATATAAATAATAATAAAATAAATATATTAATTATTGACACTTACTCCTTCTGTTTATATTTTACTTGTTCAATTTTAACTTGACACACTTATTAAGAAAATAATAATTGATATATTAAGTTTTACCATTTTGCTTCTATTGATTGATAGAATTTTAAAATTAACTTACTCATTAAAGAGGTTCTACCTTTTTCAAAAATATTAACTCTCTAAATAAATTGAGGGGTATAATAGGTAAAAAAGATATATTGTTTTTTCTTTATTTGTCAAAAATAAGAAGTAAAAAGGGACAAGTAAAAAATTAAAATTGGACAAGTAAAAAAGGACAGAGGAGTACTACTTAGAGTCTGTTTGGCATTGCTGTTAAAGAATGTTTATTTTTAGAAACTAAAACTGATTATTTTTAGAAGCGCTTTTTTAAAAGACATTTTCAGAAAAATGTTTTAAAAAAACAATTTGTGTTTGGCAAATTCATTTGAAAAGTGATTTTGATAAGTAATTTGTTCTTTGGCTAATATTCTTTAAAAAGTGCTTTTGAGTGTCTAATTACAAATAAATGGGCAAGTATCAATGTGCTTTTAATATTAAGATTAGAAACTATTTTAAACATCTAATACAGAAATTTTGATTACATTTTTAATTTAATTATTTAAAATGTACATTTCAAATTTCCAATCAATATTGTACATAGATCAATATTGTTGAAAAATATTGAAAGGGGATTTTATTTTTTTTTGGACTCAATCTTCGTTATTTTTATTTTTTTTGGTTATAATACTCTAAAGTTTTAAAAAAAATCAAATTAAAATAAAATAATATGTAAATTAAGAAAAGAAAAAATTGTTATTTGTTACTTTTTTTTGAGAGGGTCTAAATCTTTAATTGTT